TGTCACTAAATCTCTTGAACCATTCACTATGAGGGTGTGGGATTGAGTCAGGAAATGGCCGACATGTGAATAGTCTCAACGATTCTATATCATACCTCTCATCGCTGAAGACTGATAGGAGTGTATACTAATACGAATGACCGGGTAGTCCTTGCTAATGTAGTGGTCGCCACCGTCGTGGTCTGTGCCATGACTATTGCTCAAGAGGGTAACAATAAGGGTAAAGGTTCACACAGCAGGTGAATCCATGAACATTCCATGTTAAAGCATGTTTAGGGAATCGAGTAAGAGAGCAAGTGACCAAGGTATTGGTTAACATGGTCTTCACATGGGGATTGCTTATCAGCGTGGGAAATATGCACACATGGTCTACCACATGTGTTGGTGATAAGCTAACGAACAAGCTGCTTGAACGAGCAGTTGGAGCTATGTACGAGTTCGGCAGTCACGCTAGGGAAGGATGCCCCTTTTTCCAGTTCCCCGTGGGAGCGTAAACTGTCGTAGATGTGGAATTTTGGTGATACGACGACTATGTGGGAATCAATTGAGATGAACACCACATCATGTGCTCCACATGTGGTCCTTATTCGGGCATCGTCCCCACAGAGACGATCTCCTCAAATTTCATCCCAGTGTGAATACAAATGCTTACTCGGTTGGAAGATGCATGAATTCAGCTCTTCCATGTCGTCGTACAGTTTGGGGGGCTATATTTGGGCAAGCTCGATCTACATGTCGTAGAAAAATGGAAGTACTAGTTATTTATAAGAGGGATGAATGTAAATTAATCGCTCAGGGCGGTTGGATCGGAAATCCTCCTCCTGCAGTGACTGGACATATTTCCTCATATACAACGAGCTCAACAACCGTGAATTTCGGTATTTAGTAAAGGAGAGGAATCGAGCAAGAGTGGTATTAAACCTTGAGGAGTCGAAATCTACCGTAGTGTGTCAAGGTTGGACTGATCTCGGGTATTTCACTGTGTTGAGTATTTCCTTGTGGAACAACAAGCACAGACAGATGCGCTCATACTAGCCCTTTATACCATTTAGTAATAATACTAATGATGGAGCACTCTGGAGGGTAGTAGAGCGAGAGGGCTGGCAACTAGTTTTGGTTTACTATCACATTTTAGGCCCATCCTGCATTTGCGGATATTGGTCGGCATAGTACAGGACATACAATGGTAATGTGAGTGGCTGTTGATAGTATATAAGGAAATGAATTACTATCGTATCATCAGGATGTTGTTAGTATAATGCTATACTACTATGGTTTAATTAGTAGTATTAAAAATATTATCATAATCATTAGTATTAGACCTCCCAGACGGAGAAACGGAGCTCGGATTGTTTGTAATGGTCCCGGGTTCAACTCTTGACACGCGCTTTTTTCGAGCACTTTGTAAACACGATATAGGGTGTTGATGAAAACGTTTTAATAGTCTTCGGCAGAAAACACTCTCCGGGTCTGTGTCTTGAGAGCTCAATAGGTGTAGTCGTGAAGAAATAATTTGGACCCACGGAAAAAATGCAAATAGTGTGAGTATATGATTCGCTCGCGCCGTAATTAGCAATTCCTCATGGTCGTTTTCTGCGTGGTAGTTGCTTGGTTGTTTGTGATGGTAGTTGATTTCCATCATCGCTGATCGAATCGAAATTATAAAGGATTTCTCGGCTGAGTACAGAGAAAGTAGTACCGTATAATAATATGTGGAAACTACGGTATATCAAATGGCGACGAAATAGTTGTAAAGTTGTGATGTAGCCCACCGTTTTATGAGGCGATCAGTTCCTCTATTGGAACTATTGAGGGAGAGACCAACATGCCTTGTGAGGAGAGGTGTTTGTTGTTATCACCATTCGGAGCAAGGTTCTGATCCTCAGTGTCGCGTTGTGTGCACTTCGTCGACTTTCACTAGGAGTGTGAGAAAATATGTACATGGTCAACTACGTGTGTTGGGGACAATATGAAAATTCTTAGGGAATTTCTCGTTGGTTTCTGTACACTTCTACTTCAATTCGTGTATAAACTCCTATGATTAATGAGGAAACTTCTGAGCTCGGCTGAGGGAAGCGAACCTAGACTCCAACTATACCTACTACGGTAGGTCGACCAGAGCGATGTGCATAACGTGGAAACGTGTTTTTGAGATGTGCTGTGAATGCTACAGTGGATGTGCCATATGTGCATATGTTGTACCTATACACGTGAGCTCAGACAGTGTGAGTTCATGTGTATGCTACTGTAGCAGTTTTACCTATTGTGGAATGGAACGGAAGTATCGGGCGACAGCTGAGGATTTGAAAATCATTGAAAGGTGGTATACTTTCGCTGTTAACGTCGTTGGGTGGTTTAGAGCGGGTTAAAACGTTGGAGCGATATAATCGTCTCAGGTTCGTCAAAGACGTTTGTGTGAGACACGCTGAGGAGCCGTTAGTGAAGGAAAGATGGTATGGGGCGAAGGAGCTGGCCGATGAGGTCAACGGCAAAGTTATACAGTTTCAGAAGGTGGCTGGTAGTACTAATGCATCTGACGCTAGTGTTGGGAAAAGTGCCGTCGCTAGGATTCGAACTTGCGCCTCGAACTCGCCCAGTGTCTGTTCGCATTGGAGTGGTCGATGTTGGGCTTGCTTCGATTACAGCAGATGAGTTCGACGAGGATTTGGCCGTTCCGATGCTCACTGAGTTGTCTGTGGAGGAGGTAAATTTGGGGTTGCCTCGTGCTTCTAATCTAGGGTGGAAAAATGTACATATGGTTGGTGACTATGTGAAAATTCTGAGGGAGTTCTCATTGGTTTTTGTACACTCCTAATTGAATTCGGGTATAAACTCCTATAATTAGTGAGGAAACTTTTGAGCTCAGCTGAGAAAGCAAACACATATATTCTGACATTTTTTAGTTAGCAGAATCGTTTTTGCGGATATTTACGCGAAGTCAGTCCGAACTGCTAACGAGGAAATTGCAGC